ATAAGGGAAACCAATAAACTTCCAAATCAAACTGAATCGATCAATTCGCGACACCTAATGTCATTTGTTAAAATTTGCGCTTAAGTGTCCATTTGTATCACTATATATTAACAAAAGATATAGTTGATTTTTATATAGCATTTTTTCACATGACCAATCAGTGAGACGTGTCATGTCACCAATTTAAATCTACCAAATAAAAAAAAAATGGGCCAAAAATAATATTAAAAAAAAAAACCTAACATACTCGCACAAATTTAATCAACTTGTACCCGCTTCTCTTTTAATCCAAAATCCACTCTTAGGGTGTGTTTGGTAGGATGGAGAATGCGTTTCCTTGAAAAATGTTTTCGTCCAAATTATTTCTTAGAAAATAAGTTGATTCATAACTTATTTTCTCATGTTTGGTTAATGAGTAGAAAATATTTTTTAGTGTTTGATTCGTGAATGAAAAAACATTTTTCAGAAAATATCTATTATTTTTTGTTAGAGTAGAAATTGTTTTTAGGAAAATAGAATCTGACTCGGAAATTAATCCTGATAATCGATCCAAAACCCGACCCCAACACCCAAATTAGGAAATGACCCCCACGACTGATTCAGAATCTAACTCAGGATTTCAATTCAAGGCACGACATTCGAACTGGAACCCGATCCTCGACACTTGAACTTAGACACGACCCCAACAACTGATCTGAGATCCAATCCCGACATTCGACCCAAGACCTGACCTCTGACACTCGACCTTGACCTCAACACCAACACCCCAAAAAAATAATTCAAAACATACTTTTCATTTATTTTTTTAGTAGGGGTTGGTGTATGTGGAGGGGGGGGGGGGGGGTAATATGGGTAGGGGAAAAGGAATGAAAATTTTAAAATTTGAAATATTTTTCAAACAAAACTTTTAAAAAAGTATATATTGGGGGTGGGGGTGGGGTTGGTAGATAGCAAGTCGGAAAAAATATATTATTTTTTGCGGGGAGGGTGTGGTAGGGGAGGGGGCTAGTAGGAGGGTCGAGTGAAATATTAAAAATTTAAAATTTAAAATATTTTTCAAAAACAAACTTTTAAGAAAAAAAAATTGTGGGGGAGAGGGGTAGGGTTTTCACGGGCATGTTGGAGAAAAAAAGAAACGGAAATTCAAAAAATTTAAAATATCATTTAAAAATAAATTCTTAAATTTTTATTTTTTTTTATTTGGTGTGGGGGTGGGGTGAGGAGATGGGTCTGAAGACTGATTCAAAAAATGTTTTTTTTTTTACTTTTTTAAGGGAGGTCATTTTTCTTAAATTTGAGGAAAATAAGTTGATTTGAAAAAAAAATTCATAACATTTAACCCAATCAAATATAAGAAAATTGATTAGTACCAAAAACACACCCTTAAATTCGGACTAATTTAATAGTTATAGGAGGAAACCATCGAGGCATTTGATTACTATTCGTGAATTGGTGGAACCCATTGAGAAAAAAATGACTTAACTTGTTTGCAATTTTCATCCCTTCAATTGAATCGCAACTTAAATTATTGTTTGGTGTGAATAAATTATAATAATAACAAGAATATTAAGTAATTTTGAGATTATTTATCTCATAGTTTTATACCTTAGTCATGGAATAAGTTATCTCATATATAAGGTGAAATAATTTTGTAATTATTTAAAATTTATTTAAATATAAATTTATTAAAATGATTCAAATTATATTAAATGCAATAATATACTAGTCCAAATAAATATTATGGATTAATATAATTGAATTAATTATTTAAATTCAATAAACATGAATTTAATTAAAGTCCGCTCCATAAAGTCAATATGTCATGTCACTTAAATCTGATTGGCTGAAAGGGATCCTATTCTAATCACAACTCCTCTATTTTAAAACTATAAATAGGGTCCTCATAATTCAGAAAGAGGACCAAGAATTTTAACAAGAAGCTAGAGAAAGCTCGTGGATCAAAAGCCGCAGATTTCTCTACGAGTTCAAATAGCCCTCAAGAATCAAGATCAAGATAAATCCCAAGCTCAAGAGCCCTTGAATTATATTTGAAAAGACAAATTCAGAGGAATCATAGAGATTGTAACACTCGCACTTGAAATAATAAAATGATTGTTGCGATAATTTTTCGTTCTTGATTATTATTTTGTCGACGCGAATTTTATTGTCTACAAACTTATCTGAAGATAATTAATTTGTAAATAATTTATCCCATCCAAACGACCTTTATCATTCTTTTCAGGTATTGCATTACAATCTTTAATAATATTTGTCACTTCAAAAGGTTTATTATCAAATGTTTTTCTTTCAGAATTCTAAGGTTTTGAGAAAATATTTACCATGACTACTAGAATTTAGTTGAAATTATGTTCATGAAAATTAGTATCACATAATTATGAAAAATTATCAGGTAAATATAATTATTTATTAATCGTTTAATTTAAGTAGATGTGAATTTTTAAAGTTTTCATTTTCTGAAAAGAATATTGTTGAAATGGAATAGTTATTGAGATCTCTCATTAATTTCCAATCGTTGACATTAAATCTCCTTAAAATATTATTAAAAAAATAAAATACACTCAAAAGGTAGAGAAAAAAGAAGAAGAAATTATGCACGCTTAGGCACATATCTCTTATTCTAGAAGATTAAAGTCCACTAAAATAAATTATTTCTTGATCCATGAATAATATTTTGACTTATTCCCTTTAGGAAATAGCAATTCCCATATAATATATAAGTCAACTAATTATGGACTAATTTCTTATTTTAAAACTCCGTTAATAAGAACATATTTTTCTTTAATAAGTAACCCTCTATTATGAAATATAAAATATTGAGGTCACACAAACCCCTTTGTCCCTTTTCTTATATTTATTTTGTAATTAAAAAAATACATGGTATATTTCATATTTTAATTTAGACAACACACATACTTGTAAAGGGGACCAAAGACAAATATAATTTTTGGAAAGAGTATATGAGTGTGACGTTATAATAAAAACTAATGGTTGAGATTCATAGGGCACTAACAATACTCCCTCCGTTCCTATTTATATGTCACCATTTTGGATTCACGTGCATTAAGAAACTAAGTAAGTTTCCTATTTATCCTTCTTTTTTTTTTTGAAACTCAAGTTTTCAATCAATGAATATGAATTAATTTATTTAATCAATGAACATGAATCATTTACTTAGCTTTTCTAAGTTGGTCAAATGTATATTTTTAATGCTAATAAGTCACAAGGGTAAAAAGGGAACAATATAATAATTTATGCATTGATTTTATGAAATGACAAGTTTTATGGACCAACTATTTATAGAAAAGGGTGACATATAAAAAGGAACAGAGGGAGTATTTTTTTTGTGTTCCCTCCGCCCCCCGCCCCCCCGCTCCAAATTTTTATCGTGAATATGTGACTTAACATTTTTCTCTAAAAAGTTTATATTTTGTGCATTGTAGTTGTGTAAAATTTTCAAATAATTTTTTGTAGCAAGTTAAATACTCCCTCAATTTCAAATTATTTGAATTGTTGAGGTATTTTTTCATTTTTCAAATTAACTTAATTGTTCAAATTTCAAAACTACTTTTAGAATGTTCTTCCAATTTTACCCTTCATTAGTTGGTATTGAAACTAGTTACTCCATTAGTTAATGTTTTGTTATTTTAATAATAAATTTGACAATAAATAATAAGAGTAAAAATGGAAAGTTATGCCTAATTTATGTCTTAATCTTCTTTTCTTAAAGGGTGTGAAACACCTCAACAATTCAATTAATTTGAAATGGAAAAAGTACGATAGTATTATAGATAGTTTGTGTTGAATTAATTAATTTTAAAAATATTTTTTATAAACATTAGAGCAATAATTTATATATGATCATTGATCAATGTTCCAAAAGTAAATTCTCTTTTCAGCTTTGAAAAAGAAACTCATTTTGCTACTAAACAGTTCTTAATTTTTAGTTGGTGGAGGATCATAGATTTCAAATATTTTTTATTTTATTTGAAATTTATGAAGTTAAAGTTAAAGACGAAATTCTGTTTGATTATACTTTTTATAAAAAATATTTTGAATAATGTTTATGCTTGTATGTATTTTAAATACAACCTTAAGTATGAAAGGTTAGTGTAAAAACAAATTATAAGTTATTTTCCGATTTTGAAATATAACTTCAAGTTTGATTTAATATTTTCATGGTTAAATATTGATATCCAAATAAATTGAAAACTTATTTTGAAACTAAATAAATGTTTTTTTATGGTCAAGCGATAATATACATTTTTTGACTTCTCAAAAACACAGCCAAACATAAGTTAATCTGATAACATATAAATTATTTACAATGTTACCCCATATAACTTTTAAAAAAATCAAGAGAAAATGGGCGATTTTACAACAAACACAATAAAAAATCTAATATAGAAAATTATTTCTAAAACCATAGGACATAATTGATAAATCCTACCCAAATAAAAAAAATTAATTCCTCTTCTACGCAACTATTAAATGAGTTTGGATCGGGTCTGAATAAAAGAGAGATTTTATTTTATTAGGTCAGGTGTGTAGGCTATATAAAATGAGTGAGGAATATTTTAAAGACACGTGGCAATTGCTAAATTTAAAAACCAGTTTTAGGATTGTTTTTTTAATTCAGTTTATTAGCAACAAAGGTAAATATGTATAATTTGTCAAATGACGAGAATATATATGCACCATCCGTTAAACGACAAGGGTATATAACTATACATCCATCACTTTCTTATTGTAAATTGTAAAATTAAGGGATATATTTGTCCTTTTCCCCTTTTCCAATTAATTTAAGAACTAGACAACTTCAAAAAAGTGCAAGCCACAAACTAGACCGACCCGGTTTATCCAATGGGTTAACCATTTGTTGCCTTATCTGAACTTTACTATGTTATCCAAAAAAAATCTATAACAAGATTTTTGAGATGTACAAAAAATAAAAATAAAATACCAACATCTATTTATTTTTTTCATACTTCAATTCATGGTTCATGTTCAATTTTCTCACATTTACAAACAAGAATAACAGGTACTTTTTTCTCTTCTTAATTCAATTCAAACATGATTTGTCTCGAAAGTTCATATAGTCGACTCCAACTTGTCTGAGATTGAGACTTAGTTGTATAAAGGGGTCGGGAAGTCTTGTATAGCCGACTCTAAACCTGTTTTGGATCGAGGCGTGTTGTGATTTAGCGTTTGAGAGACTTTCACTGATACGACTAGACTACTAATACTACTTGAACCAAATGACTAGGATTATTCCAGCTGAAATATTTCCTCAATGCCCCTTTTTCTCCAATAATTTGAAGCCAAAATCTCAATCTTCAAAGCATAATTTTGTTGTAAGATGTAGTAGTAGCAATGACCAAAGTAAAGTAAAGACTGGAAATCCTTTAAGGGTCAAAATTTCTAGTGAAAATTATAGACCTACACATGATATGAAAGTGCTAAATTGGTCATGTAAAGTAGGCAAATATGATGAAACTTTGTATCTACTTGAATGTAAGGTGAAGAGTGGTTATAAACCTGATGTGATTCTGTGTACAAAGCTCATTAAGGGATTTTTCAACTCGAAAAATTCGGATAAAGGGGTGAAGGTTATGCAAATTTTGGAGCAATTTGGTGAACCAGATGTGTTTGCATATAATGCACTTATAAGTGGATTTTGTAAAATGAACAAGATTGAAGAAGCTAATATGGTGTTGAATAGGATGAAAGCTCGTGGCTTTCCTCCGGATTCTGTTACGTATAATATCTTGATAGGTAGTCTTTGTGATAGAGGGAAACTAGGATCAGCATTGAAGTTGTTGGATCAGTTGAAAGAAGAAAACAATTGTAAGCCTACTGTTATTACTTACACAATCTTGATAGAGGCAACGATTCTTGAAGGCGGAATTCATGAAGCAATGAAGCTTCTCGATGAGATGTTATCGAGAGGGCTTCAACCTGATATGTACACTTATAATGCAATTATCAGGGGAATGTGTAGAGAAAAGATGATGGATCAAGCCTATGAGTTCGTTAGGAGCTTGCCATCTAAGGGATGCATGCCTGACGTGATTTCCTATAACATTTTGTTAAGGGCATTGTTGCATCATAAGGGGAAATGGAGTGATGGGGAGAAGCTAATGAATGAGATGTTATCTGAAGGATGTGAACCAAATGTGGTTACTTATAGCATATTGATGAGTGCTTTATGTAGAGATGGGAAATTAGACGAAGCGATTAACTTGTTAAAGATAATGATGGATAAAGGATTAACACCTGATACATTTACTTATGATCCATTGATTTCTGCATTTTGCAAAGGAGGGAGATTAGATTTGGCTATTAAGTTCTTGGATTACATGATCTCGAACGGATGCTTGCCTGATATAGTGAACTATAACACTATACTTTCTACAATGTGTAAGAAGGGGAAAGCCGATGAGGCAGTGGAAGTGTTTGAGAAGCTCGCGGAAATAGGATGCCCTCCTGATGTAAGCACTTATAATACATTGATGAGCGCGTTATGGAATAATGGAGGGAGAGCTAGGGCCTTGAAAATGGTATCAGAGATGATAGAAAAAGGCATTGATCCTGATGAGATAACTTATAATGCATTGATTTCATGTTTATGTAGAGATGGGATGGTAAATGAAGCACTTGATTTGTTAGGAGATATGGAAGGGAATGGTTTTCCACCTACTGTTATAACTTATAACATTCTTCTTCTTGGACTATGCAAAGCTCATAGAGTTGTTGAGGCAATTGAAGTTCTAGCAGAGATGGTAGAAAAGGGGCGTCGTCCAAATGAAACAACGTATATTCTGTTGATTGAAGGTATTGGTTTTTCAGGACGGAGAGTTCAAGCAATGGAGATGGCTAGCGCGATTTATCATAAGAATGCTATCTCGAAAGAATCACTTCAACGTTTGAGAAAAACCTTTCAAGTACCTGATGTTTATAGTAAAGATATTACTACTATCTTAAGAAACCAGAAACTAGTTTCTTGAATCTGTTTCTGATATGTTCTTCTCTGTATCGTTCCAATTTTATCATAAAGTCCACACGTTTCGTTCATATCAATGTTCAATACTTGTACATCAATGACAGTAACAAAGACATCAGATTTCTCCTATCTGCACTCTTTACATTGTATCCGTAAACTAACAAGTATGTATCCATTTGCTGTATTTTTGTACGTATAATATTTTCGAAGATTTTAAGTTCCAGAAATGCATTAGTACATTCTGGTTTTTAGAGATTTTTTTATTCAGTTGATGGACTTTGTGTATTTTGTTTGTTGAAATTGTACTTGACAAATAGTTTAAAGATTTATGTGCCAAATTTGTATTGTTTGACAACAATCAAGGGCATCTGTTTACTGTAGGCAAATAGCAACCAATATTTATTTTTTAACTTTATGATTATGTTTTAACTATTCGATATCTGAAGCTCATTGGTCTGACTAATCTAGATTCACATTGGGTAAGACCACCAAGAGAGTAAAAGCACAGTATTGCTTAGGGGAATGATGGAACTTTTCGCCAGTATTTACTCCCAAAATACTTGGAAGTTCACTGATAATCATCTGTAAAAGGCTGCTACAAAGGGCACGATGCACAAAGCATTTTTACATTCAATACATGCTCAAAGAACTAAAAGAAAATTGATCACATTACATGGATATCTTTCATTTCCAATCAGATAAGTTGCTACCACAACAGCACCAACACAACAACACCATATCTAGTGTAATCCCACAAGTTGAGTTTGGAGAGAGTGGTGTAGAGAGATTGTTTCCTATAAGCATCAAACGGTTCTCTTGGAAGTGAAAGAAAACCATTGCGTGTTTGCGTGATCTTGCAAATCACAAGCTATAATATAATGCTGAACAGTCTCCACCAGGCCTTGATCTGTGCCATAGATGAATGAATACAGCAGCAAATTTCCAATTGTACTACAAAGATTGTGAGTATTGCCAAACAAAGTAGCCCTTTTGAACATCAAAGTTACTCATTTCAAAAATCAGTAGAAAGCATCCTCTATATTACAAAAAGAGGTCGACTGGTGAAAGGGATGATGAATATTTCTCATGATGGTCGTGTCCGGGTCAGCTTGGAATGCACCTCCAGTCCTCCACTATTCTAGGCAGCACCTGGTACCTCCTCACAACATAGGTAGGTATCAGACAACTCTTTCACCAAGGTTTAGGCACACGAAAAGAAATCATCTAACTGAGAAAGGGATGATGAACTTTTTTCATGTCTGGGTCAGCTTGGAACGCATCTCCAGTATTCGATGGGGCACCTGCTACCTCCTCACCACCATAGGTACCAGACAACTTTGTTAACCGAGGCACTAAGGCTTAGGCACACGAGAAGAAATCATCTAACTGAGAAAGGGATGATGAACTTTTTTCATAACCCTGGTATCTAGGTCAGCTTGGAATGCACCTCCACTATTCCATGGGGCTTACTACCTCCTCACCAACATAGATACCAAGACAACTATGTTCACCAAGACTTAGGCATGTGAGAAGAAATCATCTAGCTGAGATTTGAACATGAGATCTCATGGTTCTCCCACCACTTCACTGATTACTAGGCCATAGCTTCGGAGTGGTGAAATAGACGGTGTGAATAACAAGCTTCTAGGGGTCTTAACATCAAGAATTCCTGGGAAAAAAAAGCTCAAGATATGGACAGGTTACATGAACTTAATATGGGCAGTGGTAATGGAAATACAAATAGCTAGTAGAGCTACACAACTAAAAAGAAGAGATAAAAACTTTGGAATTTCAGATATTAGAAGAAAACAAGTCCATATTGATAACAGAAATACTGGGAAATTTCACAAAGACATTGTAAGAAAACCCAAGGCCACATATATATTCATAGCACATGATAAAATATGCCTCAAATGCACCGATCCATGGCTTTTTCTATATGTGAATAATATAGAATTAAAAAAGTCGCCATACGAATACATAACTAACCAAAACTCTGTCAAGCAGGCATGACACGGTCAAAAATTTTACCAAGCACAAAATAGAACAGACAACGGACATGGAAAGAAACCTAATAAAGGAGTAAAATTTCCATTTGTGCTGAGGTGATCTCGAATGATTTGCTGTGCTGACTTAATGATAATCTCTTTCCAATATGAAAACCTCTATTCCTCGAGAGTTGCATTCCCTCAACTATTTCCATATTTCTGTTGCTGTTTTATTCATATCTGCACCAGACATGCTACCAATAACAATCACTGAGTTAAGAATACTGTCTAATTGGGAAAAGAGAATCTATTCCTTGAGAATTTTCCATTCCTTCAACTTCTCACGCAATTCCATAGCTGCTTCATTCATACCTGCACCAGCTATCCCTGCAACTATATTGGAATATACGGTTGACTTAAGCTTGTGGCAACTTGATATCATCATTTTCAGCACTTGTTTTGCAGAGTCCAGTTTACCATTTTGGCATAATCTGTGAATAATAAACCTGTAACAATTATCTCTGACCCTGTGTCTGCTATTACCCATCTCTTTTAGTAACTCCACAGCTTCTTCAATAAGATCAGCTCGACAGAATCCCCAAATTAGACATCTATATGTAACATCATCAGGACAAGTCCCATGCTTTTCCATTTGATGGTATAAATCCATAGCCTTCTCCATAAAACCAAGCTTCGCCAGGCCATCAATGACTATGTTGTAAGTGATTATACTAGGAGAACAACTGCTATCACCTAAACAATGAACAATTTGGATGGCCTCGTCCACCATTGCCTCCTTACAAAGAGCACGTAGAAGTGTATTATATGTGATTATGTCAGGTATGCAGTTTTCAGAGACCATCTGAGTGAAAAAGTCAATTGCACGATCCAGAAGCCCATGCTTGCACAAACAATTGATTAAAATATTGTAAGTCACAACACTAGGAGGATGTGAACTTTCATTCATAATGGAAAGAATCTCATCTACTCCATCCCAACATGCATAGGTAGAAAAGGAATGGAGAAGAGTATTGTAAGTCACAGCATTGGGCTCAAGGCCATGCGATAGAAGATTATAGACTAGTAAAGCTGAATCTTCAAAGTTCCCTTGCTTACAAGAAAAATTTACCATGGAATTGTAGGTCACGAGATCTGGAGAACATCCCTCAACTGCCAAGTCCTCCATTACCTCAAGGGCACGTATAACACCACAATGTTTGCAGACTAATTCAACAAGAATTGTACTGGTGATCTGATAAGGAGGACATCCTTTTCTTAACTGATCCTTCCAAAACTGAATTCCTTGATCATATTTACTACGGTCAAACATCGCACGCAGTATAGTATTATAAGTGATAACATCGGGAAGGCAACCACTCAAGCTCATGTAGTCCAAGAAATCAATGGCAGAGTTCAAAAGCCCTTTTCTACATAGACCACTGATTAACATATTATATGTGATAATATCTGGAGCCCCACCAGACATAACCATGATTTGTAGAACATTCGCTGCTTTGTCTGTCTGTCCAACATTGACGAGGCCCCTAATCAAGTTTATGCAGGAAGGATAGTCTGGAATTTGGTATCGACGAGTCATCAGGTCAACTAATTTTGATGCTTCAAGCAATTTCCCGTGACTGCAAAAACTTCTAAGGATTTTGTTGTTAGTTGTCTCATCATTTTCAACCAATGGTCCATCTAAAGTCAACCTTAAGGAACTAGAAAGTTTCTTGAACTGTTGTTCATTTGATCTCTTCTCAACATCTCTATTTAAGCTCCCATTAGTACCCTCTTTAACTCTATCAAGGCAGACACTTCCCTGCTTGTTACAGGATAATATGGAACCAGTTTTTCCGGAACCAAGAACTCCATGCCACTGCAGAGAAGATTGACTACTAAAATTACCCCTGAATGAATGTCTTAGCAGAATTGCTGGAGTTTTTATTAGCAAGGATTGACTATTTCCAGTTTGGAGGTCTATTTGGCTGGAGCTTGAGTTCTGTATATGTAGAGTAGAAGTTCCAATCATCAGTTTCGGGACAAGTGTAGCCATTGCTTTCTTCACGATAACACCAACCTTCAAGAGAAAAAGAGCATTTCTTCCGAAACTACTGTGTTATTCCTGTGAAATGGAGGTAAGCAGGATCACATTGACATATGTGCTATACTTGAATATCTTCAAGGTGGCATGCAATCTTAGGCAAACAGGAAAAGATTGAAGCACCACTGATCCCAGTCTTGTCAACTGAAAAAGGTAAGAAGAGGTCAGGGGGATGTAAGAGGACAATCTTCTTCCGAATAAAAACCATTATGAGAGAATAGCAAATGCAAGACAACTTTTTGGTGGGAAGGTTGAAACTTAACATCTTTTATCTTCAACATCTTGTATCAGGAAATCTTTTTAGATACTCCATATTTAAACTTATATCTGAAAGAGAGCATTCTTTAGTAGCTAATGATAGTCTAGTCCCAGATGTATCTATAATGCCTACTATAGTACTAAGTACTTGTAACTCTTCGGTGTCTAAGTCACACCGTGCTCCCTTGTAGTTTTTGGTCATATATATGCAATATCTTTTCATTATCAAAAAAACAAAAAACTCTTCTACCAAACCAGTAACTCTACACTCGGAAAAAAAAAAACTTCATATTCAAATTTGACTTGATTCAAAACACTTCTCAAAAGAAGAAAAAGATTAATGAGTATCAGTTAAGGAGATCCATGAGGAAATTCATCCATCACTCATAAGTGAGTCAAAATGCCATACAGTAACATCAGTCAATCAACTAACATGTCAATTCCAAACTAGTTAGAGCCAGCTATACAAATCATCTTTAACCATTCAGCTCTATGTGAGGCCATATCATTCAAAATGCAAACAGTAACATCACACACAAACCATTTGCTCACATGGAAAACACAACGGGATGGAATCATCAATTTGTTCACTTTTTACTACAAATTTAGCTCAAATTCAACAATCTGATTTCTGAAACCATAACATAACTTGAGAAAAAATGGGGG